TGACCCCCCTGCATCCTCCCCATTCCATTTGGGATACAACCACTGAATCACCCCTTTTCTACCCTCCCTTTTTCAGCTGATCTCTCCCTGGACCCCGACACGGCCAACCCCTACCTGGTGCTGTCGGAGGACCAGCGCAGCGTCCGCCTGCGCGGGGCCCCGCAGGAGCTGCCGGCGCACCCCAAGCGCTTCGACTACGCCTTCTGCGTCCTGGCCCGCGAGGGCTTCTCCTCGGGCCGCCACTACTGGGAGGTGGAGGTGGGCGACGGCGAGAGCTGGGTGCTGGGGGCCGCCCGCGAGTCCGTGCGGCGCAAGGAGAAGGTCGACTTCGCCCCCGAGGAGGGGATCTGGGCGGTGGGGCTCAACTGGAAGGGCAAGAATTGGGATCAGTACCAGGCGTTCACCTCGCCCGAGACGCCGCTGTCGCTGTGCGAGCGGCCGCGCAAGGTGGGGGTCTACCTGGACTACGAGGGCGGCTGGGTGGCCTTCTACAACGCCGACACCATGGCGCCCATCTTCACCTTCACCGCCGCCTTCTCCGAGAGGATCTTCCCCTTCTTCTGGCTCTTCTACGTCGGCTCCTCGCTGTCCCTCTGCAACTGAGGGGGTCTGCCCGTCTGCCCGAGCTGCCACCGCCACTCCCCTTCTCCTCCTCCTCCTCCTCCTTCTTCCCTTCTCCTCCTCTCCTCATCCTCCACTTCCTCCTCCTTCCCTTCTCCTCCTTCCCTTCCTCCTCCTCTCCTCCTTCTCCTCCTCCCCTTCTCCTCCTCCACCTCCTCCTCCTTCCCTTCTTCACCTTCTCCTCTTCCTCCTCACCCTCCACCTCCTCCTCCTCCCCTTCTTCACCTTCTTCCCTTCTTCCTCCTCTCCTGCTCCTCTCCTCCTCTCCTCCTCCTTCTTCCCTTCTTCACCTTCTCCTCTTCCTCCTCCTCCTCCTCCCCTTCTTCACCTTCTCCCTCTCCATCTTCTCCCCTTCCTCCTCCTCCTCCTCTCCTCCTCCTCCTTCTCCTTGCCTTCTTCCTCCTCATCCTCCACCTTTTCCTCCCTCCCTTCTCCTCCCTCTCCACCTTCTCCTCCTCCTCCTTCTCTCTTCCTCCTCCTCTCCTCCCCTTCTCCTCCTCCTCATCCTCAACCTTCTCCTCCTTCTCCTCCCCTTCCTCCTCCTCTCCTCATCCTCCACCTTCTCCGCTTCCTCCCCTTCCTCCTCCTCCT